AAGTTGTGCCCTGTTATTATTAGGCGCAGTTAAAGAAATTCTATAGTTCTAAACCTTTAAATATTTAGACTTAGCCTTATATATATTAACTTAGTAATTATATCTACTAAAGTTTAGCTATTTGCTTACTAGAAATCCTAGGCCTGTACACTTTCTAGTTATAATTTATATTATCTTTCTATAGCTAACTAGTATTCTAGTTAATTAGCTTACTTACTCTCTTTTTTACTTATAAATAATAGTTTAGACTATGTAAGTGTTTTACCTAAGATACACTTTAAATCTAATAACACATGCCTTATGTCTCTAAGTAAATATTTTAATTTAAAGACTAATAATAATTATTAAATAGTGTAAAAAGAATATTAAGTTATTACCTAAGTTAATAATAATACTGTTTAGTAAAAAAGAGAGAGAAAATAAAAATGTAATGTTTATAGCAGCAAAAACATTAATTTATAGATTAAATAACCTGCTTAACTTAGACTAATATCTAGCATCTTATAGTTATGTGTAGGGATAGTTTATATAATTATTATTTTACTTAATTTTATTCTTTATTAGTGTTTATCTGCTAGAGTTTATAAGTTACTTTATACTTATTTATCTAAAGTCTTTTTATTTACTAATAGATTTAAGCTGCTATTAGCTTTATATCTGTTACATTTATTAAGGCTAAATATTATTATTAGTAGGTATTATACTGTTATCTGTTTACTTTGCTAGGTAGCATTTTGTTAAAAGCTGCCTACTATCTAGCATGCAGTCTCTAATTTTTTTAGAGTATTTATAAGCCTAAGCGCCTTTTTATAGTGTTGTGTAGTAATTACTGTTGTATTAAAATCTATTAAATTAGGCTAGAGATTACTGTTATCTAAAGAAGTTATCTTTATACTGCTTATGTTTCCTGCTTTTAGTGTTACTACTAACTTCTCTACTATATTTTTATATATTGCTACTAGAGTTTTTAATATTATAGCTAAATTTTTTTTATTTACTACTAAACTTTATGTTGCTTAACTAGATTTTAACTTTACTATTTATTTTTTTTAGTTCTAATTAGTCTAAATTTAGCTCTGCTTTTAGTTAATTAGCCTAGGCAATTAATAGTAGAAGATTATGCTGTTTTTTAATCTTATAACTATATTTGCATAGCTAGCTAATAAAGTTCTCTATCTTGCTAATAGTATTAGTTATACCTACTACTAGACTCTATATAAGTTAGAAACGTCTAGTTATTAATATCTAATAAACATTAACAGTATAGTTAAGATTTATGCTAATATTACTACTAGAATTATAGTAGCTTATAGCTAGAGTTAAGAAAGCTTACTTCTACTTTTAATAGTATTTTAAAAGCTTAAGTCTTTTATTTAAGAGGTTATTTCTAGAAATCTTATACTTTTTAGGTGTAGTGTTAATTAATTACTAATTACTACTAGATGTATATTTTATATACTGTTAAAGTCTAGTAAAGTTAGCTATATATTTAATGCTTATAGTTATAAAATAAACACTTAGCCTTTTTACCTTTATAATAGCAGCATGCGCATAAACCTTTAAGAAAGCTTTAAATAGTAATGCATATTAGAAATTTTTTACTAAATGCTGCACATTATTTATAAGAAATCTACTTAGCTTTTACTATAAACACCTAGATAGCCTTAGCGCTCTATAATTTATTTATATTTAGAGACATAGTAATGCTATTACTATGCTTATCTACCTATAGTTAAAAGTATACTAGCTAATTTTATAAAAACTAGCGTAATTTATAGAATGCATTAGAAAATGTCTTTTCATTTTAAATAATCTAACTATTTACTACTAAGTTAGTCTAGTAGTTATCTTAAATAACTTTTTTACTATTAACTATAATAACGTACTTCACAGGCGAGTTGCTTACACACCTAAGTTGCTTACTTTTGCTAAGACTCTACCCTAACAAACTCTATTATAGCCTATAACAACCTGCTCTAGCACTATATAGTACAGTACAGCCTAGAATATTATTTAGATACTACTTCTACTTCTTACTTACATGTTTGTGTGTTATGCCTAGTTAAATTACACTATTTATAGCGCCTTTAAAATAGCTTACCTACTTTAGCTTATACCTGCTTTTTTATCTTCTTTTTATTACTGCGCTCTCTAAACTCTTTTAAAGCTATTAAGTGTAAGCCTTTTTAAATTATTAAAGTTTTTTTTACTTTAATTTACTCTCTTTTATGTAATTTATATTATATAGTAGCCTTATTAGCTACTTAAAGCTTAGTAATTTTTTATTATACTAACACTAGCTTATATATAATTATTACTACTTTTTTTAAAACTTTTTTAAACACTTTAACTATAAAGGTTAGTAAACTATTTATATACTTCTAAATTTTTATTTTTATAAGCATTAATTATAACTTAAGTTTTAAAGTATTACTTAAGGTTTACAACTGCTAAGGCTTATTATATATAAGTAGTAGTAGTAATAGAGTGTGTAACTTTATATTAAAGCCTATTATAACTTATTATAAGTTAAAAGAAACTAATTTAGCACTTTAAAACTCTTTTTAGATATTACTAAAAGTAATTATAGTATTATAAGCTACTTTAAAGCATAGTAAGAACTTTATTTTTATAATATAAGTAATCTAGTTATATATAAAGTTTTTAGCTTAGCGCTTATACACTTTTTTTAAAGAAGTAAAACAACTTATATTAAGTAGCTATAAAAAGTATAATAAGTAAAAAAGCATATAAATAGTAATAATCTTATTATCTTTATAGTATTACTAAAAATAAAGTAAGTTATAGCTTTTATAGCTGTTAATAACTAGCAGATAGTAGCTACTAATAGTACACTTTTTTATATACATGTTAAAGTGCTTTAACTAGTCTAAACTAAGCTAATTAGTAGTTTAGCTACGCTTAAAAATTATAATAACTTAATTTTAAAGTAAATTTTTTTTATACTAGTTTAAAAAGTAGTTGCTACTTTAAAAAATAATAAAAAGTAAAATAGCTTACCTTTTAGCATTAATGCTCTAAATAGCAGTTATCTACTTCTAGTTACTTAGCTAAACTACTTTTAGCTATTTTTATCTCTCTAAACTTATAATAACTACTCTAGTAAATATCTAGCCTATTATAAACTTTATTTTATTAAAGTTATACATGTTATTATTCTAGATGCTATACCTAGCTTTAATATTCTTTATAAAGTTAAACTAGCTTTAAATTACTAGTTACTTTAAAACTTAAGTTATAATTAATGCTTATAAAAATAAAAATTTAGAAGTATATAAATAGTTTACTAACTTTTATAGTTAAAGTGTTTAAAAAAGTTTTAAAAAAAGTAGTAATAATTACATATAAGCTAGTGTTAGTATAATAAAAAAATTTTAAGCTTTAAGTAGCTAATAATGCAGCTATATAATATAAATTATATAAAAAAAAGTAAATTAAGGTAAAAAAAACTTTAATAATTTAAAAAAGCTTATACTTAATAGCTTTAAAAAAGTTTAGAGCACATAGTAATAAAAAAAAAGTAAAGAAGTAGGTATAAGCTAAAGTAAGTAAGCTATTTTAAAGGCACTATAAATAGTGTAATTAGACAAGGCATAACACATAAATGTATAAGTAAGAAGTTAAAGTAGTATCTAAATAATATTCTAGGCTGTACTCTACTATATAGTGCTAGAGCAGGTTGTTATAGGCTATAATAGAGTTTATTAGGGTGTGGTCTTAGCAAAAGTAAGCAACTTAGGTGTGTAAGCAACTCGCCTGTAAAGTACGTTAACTAAAAAAGTAAAACACTATTAAATAATTAGTTATATAAAAGCCTTTTAAATAATATCTTTATCTAGATAGGCTCTAAACGCAGCATTCTATATATCTCTTTTTATATAAGGTTCTGCGCAGTCTTATAGCTCTTAGAGTTTAATAGCACCTGCTTATTATCTAAAAAAAAAGTACCTTTTACTAAAACTTAGCAGTTAAATTTTAAGTGCCTTTAAAAGTTTATAACAACTTCTAAAGCAGCGTTATAATTATAAAAATTATAGTATTAAAAAAGATAGCTGTTTTATTTAGTAAGTTTATTAGACATTAGTAGTTATATAAAGTTTTTAATGTTACTGCCCTTATTTTTAGGCACTAGAGTTAAGCTTAATTTATAAGATTCTATTATACAAGACTTTTAAAGTTGTTTTGTTAATAGGGAAGTAAATTTTTAGCTAAGACTATAAATTAATTTAAGAATCTAATCTAGATTTAGGATAGCGTGGATTCGGATCAATCCACGAATCGGATCGATCTATCGCCAGCACTGCCGTTGTTCCAGGCGAACCCGGATGACGGGGTCACGTGACATCCTTTGCGCCGACAGCATAGCTTCCCACCATTAGTTGTCATACCGTTGTATGACTTTACAACATTCGGTTGCGGTCCAATCGTGGATTGTAACAATATATCCTTCTGCTGTGCTAGCTAGAAGGTTAACCTTTGAGCAGCGCAACAACTACACTAAGTTGAGAAGTTTTTTTGCTTCTATCTTTTCTTTATCTCTTAGAGTACTATAAATTAAAGTAAAAGTAAAAGTTTTTTTATAGTTTTTAATCTTTGTAAAGATTTTTACTTTTTTTTATAATTTTTTTTCTATTCTCTACTTTGTTTTTTTATATGTTTTAAACTGCTTTTCTAGTTTTCCTACTAAATACTTATCTGCAATATATATTTCTCTGTTAGAAATACTTCTTAGTAGTATTTTATATATAGTTTATACGCTGCTTTCGCGATAAGTCTGACTGATAGACGGATGGTCCCCTCGGATATTTATTCCAGCAGACACTAAGGGACAAGCAGGCACAGAGAGGTTGAGCTGCCGCCTGTCCACCTGTGGGAGAAGCCTAGTCGCCTCTAGGCCAGACCATGTTCCAGCGCGTGCGTATTGCGGCCAGGGAACTTGCGGAAGATCCACTCCCAAGACTTGCCCTCTTTCATGTATGCTAGTAAGCGCTGCTACTCTAAATCAATGCACACCTCACTTGTAATCTCTAAAACACGCGTTGGAATTCGCGATAAGACCCAAACAGTTATCGACTTGCCCTTAGAAATCAAGAGGCGGCTCTAGCTGCCGGGATAACAATGCTATGTTACTAATTTCTATATCTCGTGTGTTGATGCAGCGTCAAGCCATATATCTGGTTTCGAATCTGGACATAGAAGAAGGGCAAAGAGAACAGTTGCCACTGAAAGAACAATAAGCTTAGAGACAATTTCCAATAAAATCGTGCGATCGCGAATTTGAAATTTTTGGCGAAAGCCTGCGACTTCATTTCCACTTGGAAAGGTCCGTGTTGGAACTGGTTCTCCGAGAAATTGACAGAGTGGCGCCCAACCTTCGGATATATGATACTGTAAAAGATTATCGGCGGGAACAAGCTCACTGATTCTAGCATAGTGCTCGATAAACACATCTTTCCCAAACCGACGGAGGCTGCCTCGGAAGAAATGTTGGCCAATTTTCGCATATGCAAGTCGTACGTGACGATGGCGGATTTGTAGAATCATCTCTATCATCTGCAAGATAGATATCCACGGCTGAGTAACTAGTTTATCGATGGTGTTCAAGGAGGATATATCGCACTGGTAAGCAAGGATTGATCAGATAATAGATTAAAACATACATGTGCCATGAGTCAACATCCCGGAGTGACAAAATTACCTTTGCCTCAGGATATGCCGCAATCAATTCTTCGGCAAAGCAGACAGCGGGAAGCCCGCAGACAGCCTATTCGAACCAGTTAAATTTTCTCTCTAGATTGACAAAATAAACCCTTATTTTCATATCGCAGGTATGGACACAACATACTTGGCAATGACCAAGGAGATGGTCGAATTCCTCTCGACTATATGGCTTTCCTCTATTTTCATATTTTGCAAGCAGAGCATCGTACCACATCTCGCAGTCTTCGGGGCTTTCAAAAACGGCCACATAACCATGATAACAATCGCTATATCCCAAGCTTTTCATGGCCTCACGGAATGCTAGTAGCATGCCTCAGTAACAAGGTTACCATTCCCATATCTTCGTGGATGACTTACAATGAGTTCCCGTCCGACCAAGTCCAAGGTTGAGCACTCTCATAGGTACAGCGCGTTGACGCTTTACATAGTTCCTTTTTGTCATCGTCATAACCGTCATAAGACACGTAGAATAATATCCTTCAATATACGTCGAATACCACAAGAAGGGCTGAGTGTGAAGGACTGTTGATGCCATAACTAGGTTTATATAGTTCAGGGCCGTGGAAACAAATTTCCTCAGCCCTTGAACTTTGGTTTCCAGTAGGGGTTACATATATTAGCACGTGTTTCTTGAGATTCACTATACCTACAGCTAACTTAACATGTTTATGTCACTACGAATTCCGATACATTCATTGGTCATCGGTAATGGAACCATTCACAATTAATATAGCCCCACCTTTGCCGGCGGGCCTTTATCTCTCGAAGAGCCGCCAGTTTTAGCTGTTTCTGCTGCGTTGAGTGGTGTGTTTTACAAACCAGTCAGCGTACCACTCACTTGTATCCCTCCGATAAGCTTACATGGCGTCATGGGACAACAAACACTGTTTAATAAGGCTTTTCATGTAAAAATGGTGCCATATCAGGTTATTTTAGTGACGCGTAGAATCCCCACGTGGCGAATGGAATGATCGCATTGGGTGATTTGCAAAGCAGCGAGGGAATCTTAGCCGGCCCCGCTAATCGTCTGTCTCATCAGGTATATCTCACCGATTATCGCGAATAGTTTTTGAATCAGCCAATCCCAAAGCTTATTGTTCACAAGTGAGAATATTCCAGCTAACATAGCTAGCGCACACAACTCGATACATCACGAGGGATGACTTCAGAAATAACTCGAAAGAGCTTCCATGTCATCATCGTTGGAGCCGGTCTTGCAGGGCTCAGTGCTGCCGTTTCTCTGGCGCAGAAAGGCCATCATGTGACCGTCGTCGAGGCTGCGCCAGGGCTTAACGAACTTGGGGCAGGAATTCAAATGCCTCCAAACAGTACTAGAATCCTGGATGCTTACGGCCTAACATCAAGGTTTCAAGAGAAAGTGACTCTTCCTACTGCATGGAATTTCTTTCGCTACGATACCGGCGAAAAACTCGGGGCTACTGCTCTACATCCAGAAATGACTGAGCGATATAACTCTCCGTAAGTTCCCTTGTCTGCCCCCACATTTGTTTCATATGAAAGGATTATAATTGCTAAAACCATTGCGAAGATATTGGCTTATTCACCGCGCGGACTATCAGCGTTTATTGCATGATGCTGCAAAGGAAGCAGGAGCCACAATACTATTTTCAAGCGCGGTTGACGCCGTAAACGCACATACTTCAGAGGTCATATTCAATGACGGGAGCAGTTTGGGGGCTGACCTCATTGTTGGAGCAGACGGTTAGATTCAATCAATTTTATATAAAGGTTAATTCCGATCAGTTGCAGGTATTCACTCCAAAGTTAGGAAAGCCGTTCTTCCTAACGAAAACATCGAGCCGTTACTAGCGTCGAGCTGCGTTTACCGTGCGGTCATTCCTGCCTCTATAATAGCATCAGATTCGAAAATTGCTCACCTTTTGCATTCCTCGGACGTAAACTGCTGGATTGGTCCCCAGAGACACTTCATAAGTTACTCAATTTGCCGAGGCGAGATGTACAATCTGGTTATGTCTCATCCCGGCAAAGTCAAAGATGCCAGGAAGTTTGGTGAGCAGGGCGAAGTAGATGAGATGAGAGCGCAGTACAGCAATTATCACCCAACAGTGAAACGTATCTTGCAGCATGTGGATAGCTGCTTGAAATGGCAGCTATCTGAATTACCATCTCTGAAGTCTTGGTCGAGTACGAACGGCAGAGTCGTTATAATTGGTGATGCTGCTCATGCAATGCTGCCTTTTCTTGCTCAAGTAATATACACGGGCTTTTTTTGGGCTCTAGCAACCTGCTAACCTCGACTAGGGGGCGGCGACGGCAGTTGAGGATGGCGCCTCTCTTGGAGAATGTTTGGCAAAAGCGAAAAGCTCATTAGACTTGCCTATCATTCTCCAGGCATTTGAAGAGATCCGCAAACCCCGTTGCGAAGAGATGAAGCGACGAGCTCGATATAATGACCATATCTGGCATATGTCTGACGGAGAAGAACAAGTCCAGCGTGACCAGGGCATGAAGTACGACATAGGCAATGCTCCGCCGGATGAAAAGCATCCAAACCAATGGTCGGACATTCAAAGTCAACCTTGGTTATTTGGATACGATGTAATTAGCCATGTGAGTGCCACTGACGTTATCATGTGTTGGATTTGGACTAATCTTAGCATAGACGAACGAAATGCTCGAAGGCATGACTGATAGTTGATATTGTATTATTTGTAATTGTCGCGTAAGAAGAGCACAGGGACCTAGTGTCGCGCCTGTGTTTGGGACGTGCGGCCTGAGACACTTGGCGCCTGAGCTCCCACTACATAGGCAGGCTCTCTAAGAGCTTCTTGTAGTCAATAGACTTGCTCCTCATTGCTCCCTGATCAGCGGTTGCGACAGTAATGATATATGAAGAATATCTTTGGAAGCTTGTGAAAGCAATAGCAGGCTGTTGGTGCTCTGGTATGAAACAAGATATATTTATTCATAGTAGACGGAAAGTTGCAGGTTGTCACCGCTCAGGAGGTACATGTTCATGCTTTTGCGCTGGCAGTCTCGTTTACACTCTAATTAAAGGGCCTCGAGTCTCAGAGATAATATTAGCATCTATAGCCTACTATTTGTTAAAGATTTTTAGCAAGCTTGAAGTGTAGATGAAGTTTCACCGAGAGCTTATCTGTGCGGCATGTCAAACTGGTCTCTTTTTCCCTATTGTTAGATCTCCGTCCTACAGAGCAAATCTGAAATCCAATTTATTACAACCTTCATCTTTGGTAGTCTGCAGATAGCCTATCCTCTGGTTTTGGTTCAAAAACTTCCAAATTGCATCCCGACGTCTATTGATAAGTGTATAATATACTCCTACGCAGACGTATAGAACCACATTAAAACACAATATCAAAAGCAACACCCTATTGCCCCGTTGGTAGCGAGGAGAATCATCTGGATTGGGAATACTTATTAGCTCGAATATATCACTATATAGAAAAAGCTTACCTTCACGATATATATTGGACGCTATAATCACCGAGAACTGAGCGAACATGTTGTATAGAGCGGCTGATACCGCTCTGGTATGCCCAGTACCGGAATTTCGAGATATCCAGCCTATTTGCTTGGTTTAAAGTGGTTTAAGCAATTGTATTGAAGTAAACTTACCCGCTTGGATAGCATGTGGATTCGGATAGCTTAGCAGAAGTGTTAAAACTGCCCACATAACCCATTTGTTTGTTCGGCTAGGGTCTAGAGCGTAAATAGCAAGTAGGAAGGGTAAAGCCCATAGCTGTGAGAGCATTGCTGTAAATGACAACTTCTTTGTCCGTTCACTTAACCGAGTAAGGCCTAGCATTGCTATGATATGTCCAATTTGCGACGGAATAACAAGAAGGTTTGTTTGAAAGGTTTCGAAACCAAGACTTCTAAGACTGTGATCCTTGTTAATATACCTCTCGCCTCTTTTAGAAACGGGGGAATTAAAATTGTTTATAATATACCGGATTGTCAAGTATTGAAGAGAGGGCACTACAGAGTCAAACCAAACACCTCGATATATTAACGTGATCAAGACTCACACATGGGAACCTGGAAGAAGAGACCTATTATATACCTAATAGTGAGTTATTATCAAGATAGGCTAATAAATAGGATGGTATCTCCTTACAGTGGCCAAAGCTGATAATCTAGCATTGCATTGAATAGACAATCCAGAGTGATAGGCTGCCTTTATTCTGAATTAGATAAGCGAGCTAGAGTGGTAGCTAAAAATACTCAACTATAACTTACTTGTTACCTAGTGTGCCTTTGGAAGGATCGTCACGTAGCAATCGCATGACAATAATAGTTTCTTCTCTAGAGAGAGGTGAGAATAACGATATTAGACTCGTAAAGTTCATTTTACCTCTTAGAGAACCATCCTTCCCTACCTCGGAGAAAGCCTGCGGTTTGCGTCGGCGACTGCGGAAGGAGAAATATTGACATGACTCCGATGATTCCGGACAAAATGCCCTGAAGAAAAACAATTAGCGATCTTGAATTTTGAAAATGGGTTCGGGAGAAATGGATGGACAGTCCAACGCACCTCGATGAAGAATAGCCACCTCCATCCACTTATACCAGCAATACCCCTTAGATGAAGGAGCCCAAATCCCAATAAGCTAGCAACAATATCGGCACAAGACATTGCCGTCCACCACAACGAGAGCCGTATTGGCAATTCTCGGCTGGTGTAGAAATTCGACAGATATAGTATCATCTATCAAGAATTCGACTATGAGCAAATCTCGTAGAAGGATCAAGTAGCAATACTCAGAGGATACTCACATTAGGAATAAAACCGCCTTGGAGGAGTGCAATTAATATCCGACAAGCTAGATAGCTAGCACGACCACTGAGAGCGCATTGACTGGCTGCTACTAAACTCCATAGGATAACTTGGATAGCTATCCATCGATTGGCTCCCAACCTAAGAACTCAAATGTAAGTGAAGCCATATCCAAGGATCAATTAATAGGTAACGAACCATTTCGAAATGAGTTGTGAAGGCAATTCAGCGCATAAAAATGCGAGCCGTGACACGGTATTGCCTAGATTATAATCTGCAATGCTTAAATTCTCTCATTAATTATCATGGGTTAATCATACCATCAGTGGTAAGACTGAGTTCTTGGAGAAAGTTATCAGTCAGGGCTTGGGAAACATTGGCTCGATCAAGCTCAAGAGCCATGAAGATGATTGAAACAAACGACAGAATTCTCCAGTCTATTTTGCGCAGTATCGCCTATACTTAGGTCAAATTTGGAGATTATAGGTAACAGTGCCGGAATCAACGTACTAATTCTTCACCCAATGTCCACCTTAGAGCTGGATTATATCTATGTCTGCCTTCGTAATCTGGTCCCGGCTCATACAACTTCGCGATCTCTGGGTTGTCGAATACTGAATATTGTGTGGCCAGAGCATCGAGATCTATCACTTCGCCGTTTTGTAAAGCCGCCCCTTCGGGTTGAAGAGAAATAGAGTCTGGTAAGCTCTCAGTAAGGTATTGTCTTTCGCCTTCCTCGTCCACGTCGCTAAGGAGAGGGTCTGAGACTATTTCATTAGTATTCTTTGTTTTGTAACCTCCTCTGCCGCCTTTTACGCGATCGAAGAACATTGTAGCAATGATTTTCAGCAAGAGGGAGAATGAGGGTTAAAGTGGTGCGTTGGCAGGCAACGTCGACGTCAAATCAGCGGGATGGTGTGGGGTTGGTTCAACTTGGTTGGCGCTTATCAGTTGTATTTGTATTTTACGAAGCCGTACATGACTAAGTCAGTATTCTATCACCTGACACTAAACGACATCAATTCTATCGTCCTTAATATTACCACTTTCCTGCTCTATAAACTGTAGTAGTATCTCTTCTAACTGATCGTGTTCCTCCTGAGTCTTGTTACTAGGATCACTTAACAGAACACTATCGTTCCCGTCTAATATTCGTTGATTTATATAAATATAAATCAACATAAAAGCCTTCACAGACCCTAATCTATTTCTAAGTTTTGAATATTAATAGCCTCAAATAGCCGAACTGCAAGCGTAGCTAGGAGACCATGCGTTTAACCAAATACATACCTCTTCTAATATAGTATTAGATTTGCGTAGTGTATGGAAGATATATGTGAAGGCCTAAATACATCTGCCTAAGGTTAGAACTAAAGAATAGGTAAGTAATTGCGGTGGGGAGGGTCAGGGTGAGGTCTGAATGCCTCAATGCGACCCTTTCCGAGTGGGAATGAGGTCTCTAGATTTCGAGAGAAATTTTAGCTGCATAGTTGTCTGATTCTGTTGGAAATTATTTCTAAATTAGTGATTATTTCATGTACAGTGTGTCTTTTTATCAAATTTATGTTCTATCCTCTCAGCATCATGGAAACATGCAGATTTACATGCTTAACAAGCCCTCATGAACCCCAAGTGTCGCCTCTATTTTGAACCGCGTCGAAGACATAGGAGTGGTAATTTATTGAGATCTTTTTGGATCAAACCGTACGTATAAAGCTTCGAGCTATGAGGCCTATGTGCAAATTTGAATAGCTGCTTTTCTCAGCCGATTCATGATAGTGGCGGCGAGATCGTCAGTCTCCGGAATACCTTCGACATGAATGGCATCGACCCCTTGATCGTCCAAGTGTCTTAATGCAGCGAAAAGCCCTCTAGCTATGCTTTCCAAGTCATCGCCCAACCATACTTCCCAGTGGGTGCCCTTAGGGGAGCGGATGGGGATTGGTATTAAGCTATCCTTTATGGGACCAGCATCTCCACCAATCTGTGATTCCCACTTCATTGTCCGTATGACACCCACTTTCCGTGCATCCTCTAGGATCGGGCCAGAACTGCCCGCCTCGTAAAGAATGACTGAGGCCCTTGGAGAGTAGTGACGGTATTTCATCCCGGGAGCCTTCGGAATTGTTGTACTTTGACAATCGTATCCAGCAATGACACCCTCCCAACCTTCGCATTGTCTAATCTGCTGAAGGCTTATGCCGCCTGGGCGGAGGATGCAGGGAGGATTAGACAAGCCGTCCACTACAGTACTTTCGAGACCGACTGCGCAAGTTCCGCCGTCGAGGATGATTTCGATCTTGCCTTCAAGGTCGTCCTTCACGTGTTGTGCAGTCGTTGTAGAAGGTCTTGTGGAAGCGTTCGCCGAGGGAGCTGCGATAGGACCAGAAAGCTGGATCAAAGCCAAAGCCAAAGGATCATCCGGGATTCTGACGCTGAAAGTTTTTAATCCCGGATGAACCTCGGGCGCCAATTCCGAGTTTTCTGGGCATGGAAGAAGGATTGTAAGAGGGCCGGGCCAGAATTTCTCGATGAGTGACTTGTAGACATTAGGAATGGGGTCTAGCGTAGCGTCCAACCTAGCTTGCGACGACGTGGGCTGCAGAAGCTGCCTCAACTGTTGGACTGAGCAAACATGTACGATCAACGGGTTGTCCACCGGTCTGCCCTTGACCTTGAAGATACCCTGGACTGCAGAGCTTTTTGTAGCGATGGCTCCTAAGCCATACACAGTTTCTGTTGGAAAGGCAACGGGAATGTCGGAATTGAGCAGTTTCTCTGCCGCGATTTTCAGGTGTGTCTCCGTAGGACCTTCACGCAGAGAAAAGTCGAATGAATCCAGAGAGCAATCTCGGTAGTCGAATGACACATCGTAGATATGTGATCGGTCGATTGGGAGTATTCGCGTTGTCATACCGGATCTTGCAGCATCGTCCATTCTTTTCTCTCTCTTCTTGGTAGGCGAAGTTGCTATCTCGCGATGTTTGAGGGAAAAACAAATATCTGCCTGTGTTCAAACGTGAGCACAGAAGCTATGTTAGAACATCCTACAGACACAAACTCACACCAGAGCACTAGGTCGGATGAGGCTGTTGCCGCGAGACTCGTTGAGGGCAGATCCAAATCCGCAGTTCCTTAGGGGTGAAGTTATCCTTCGTAAAGAGCTTTTCAAGTAATTTAGCGATAGATGGTGCTTTGTGCTCCTCGCAATAGTTTAAAAATATCTCCGGGTAGCAAGAATTTCCGCAGCCGCTCAACTTTGTACCACCTGAAGTTCAACCAATCATGATCGAGTGCCTTGGCTTGGCAGGTTGCTGAGAGGAACACCTCTGCTCAGTCCCCGAATGGATTGCTTGTAAGCCGTGAAGCCGCTCTCGGAATAGCGGGCTTAATCTGTTATAAGCCTCAGCCGTGTTGGCGTATAGGGTATCGCCTCCAATCAAGGGCTTCTCCAGGATATATAGAAAGGCGATCCCAGGGGGTTGTGCCTCGTAGGAAACGCCAGAGCGCCATGCAACAGAGCTCGTGCGAGTCTGGAAAAACTGGGCGGCGCTCTGATCGCTAGCCGCCTGGTGTACCAGATGGATCTCTGGGTGTCCGGCAGGAGGCCCCGAGGTTAGGTGAACGTGAAGAGGACCAGAATAGCGAGCAAATGTAAGGGCTTCGGGGATGGGGAGGGGGGCGAAGTCCTGGGCACTAAAGTCAACCACCTTACGGTCCGCCACATAACGGGCTAGCTGGTCTTTGCCGACTGAGGAGAGCGTGCGGAGCTGTATGCCGCGGACTTCGGTGCCAATGGTCGGCGTAATGTGGGTAACTGTTACGTTGTCGGGAAGTAGATCTGGGTACGATGTGTCTGCACCTTCCCGTGATCATAATGGATGAGACTTTCCAGAGAAGGATATTTCTGCTCGGGATCCCAGGTCGGTAAGTAGTGTGGGTACTGAACTAGTGTTAAGTGAAGCGGAATATCTCCACAAGAGATGTAAAACTGGAAGAAAGTCGGTCAGGATCCATTCCTTAACGAAAGTTTGGCATATCATTCAGAAGATACAGGTAAGTAGCATGCTGAGCGGTGGGTAGAATAAGTAGACCATGCTTCAATGTGGTGCTGCGGAGCTAACAGGAATAGAATATATCTAGGCTTCAAGAGGTGGCTAGCGCTTTGCGCTCGAATTTCACTTGATGAAGAGCATTCATTTTAAGCACCTTCACAGGGTTTAGAATGGCTTTGGTGATTTTGCCTAAAGCCTCCCCATTTTGCTCAGGAAAGGATTTACGTCACTATGGTTGCATTTCCTACTCCCAGGCATTGTTGGGATCTTGTCTTCAGTGGGTTGCATTATGGTCGTAATATCACGTGGTTTCCTCTCTTGTTACTATCTTCTTTACCATCGCTACAATTTACATCCAGTTATCTTACCAGACCCCATCGCGCTCGCACAGGCATTCGGGTTGGCATACATCTTGGAGTGTTTGCGCTGTTTGGTCTTCCCTTGCCCTCTTTATTATCCTCAACAGCACGTCTAATCGCCTGATGGCACTTCACAGTGAAAGAAGATCGAGAAATAAACTAAGGGTAAAAGCAGAGTCCGCATCTTCTAGATAATTTCTTTCCGCCATCCTCTATGTTCATCTTAAACAAGAGTTTCGAGGAGTAGCCGTTCGTCGCCTAGACCTCTAGGTCCTAGGGTAGTTTTGCTGAGGCCCGGCATAACCTCGTGCGGACATGCTGTGTAAAAAGGCCGGGAGATCTTCTAACTCGCTATAACCAACTGTTGCTGGAATGTGTCCGACGAGCGTTTCACGTACGTGTACGTCGACCGGCTATCTCCTTCCTTCCTCCCCCTGAAGCTAACGGACGTGTATAGAGCATATCTCTAGGGCAAATATCTCGGGGATCCTAAGAAGCAGAGCTACTTCGCGCTAAATACGGATAACCAATATGAGCGTTTTGGGCTGATGTGTGGTGTTTTCCTCCGTAGTAGAGCAAACCTAGGGCAGCTCCTTCCGAACAAACTAACTGTTGTGGAAGTGACTTAGCTCAGTGTTGCATAGTTGGAGGGGTGGCTCATGGATATGGGAGAGGGTAGTGGTGAGATTGAGATTGAGAATGAGGAATCGATCCAGAGCGATCACCCGAGCGGCCAGGACAACCCCCATTGGCAGAACGGTGTTACTCGGCAGCTGAAAGGGATTGATAAGATTTCGGAGGAGTTTGTTGGCCATCTGGCGGTTCAGAAGGCGAAGGCCGAGAGGTGAGAGATGGATACGCTGTTTGAACTCCGGAAGGGCCATAAGACTGGCCATGTAGAAAGAGGGGCCTCTTTTCGAGAAGCATCGGCATTTGAAGAGTGATTTAGCTGATTTGTACAGAGTTTAGACAACACTCGTGACTTTCATGGTAAAGTAGCATATAGATTTCCATGGTATCTGGTTGCAGGGGTTAGCTCTTTTTCCCTCCACTAAGAAATATACTCACCCGCCAAAATTGTCTCCCGATCTAATAGCATACTGTCTGATAACTCGTAATAATGCCCCCTCCCCATTCCAATCCAAGAGTCTTCCCGCCCTCAGCCAACATCGATCCTCTGTCCATCCTCCCTTCTCTCACCATCGCCAAAAGTCTCCTCAACAAGTCTCACAAACTCCACAATCGCAGCTTGCTCTCCCCCACCCTCTTTCCCCTCCCTCAATCTCTTCAACAATTTCATCGCATCTGCATCGCCTTTCTTTTGAGACCATTTCCTAGACCTATTTTCATCACCATGTCTATGATCTCCACTACGCATATAGCCACCCCGGCTTCGCCCTCTACTTCCACGGCCACGAGAGTAGGACCCGCGACCCCTCCCATTGTAGGGATGCTGGAAAGAGGTTGGTGGGTTATCGGCAGGTCTTGGTTCGATGGTCGCGGCGTATATGCGTTGGAGGGAGGAGAGAAGGGTGGGGTGTGTCCGTAATAATTCCTGGTATTGGGGCTTTGAAGCGAATTGAGAAAAGTCTTTCCGCTGCTTGATGTACTTCGGGACTGGTGGCGGGGGAGGAGGGTCGGGAATTACTAGGGGAGTAGGATGGAGGGTTGGGTTGGGTGTAGAGGGGGATATGTCTGGATGTGTAGGTTTGTGGATTTTGAAGCATGCTAGCGAGCAGCTGAGCCCGTGTCAGCGAGATGGAAGAGATGGGAGATTTGAGAGGAAGTGGTCTTACTAGGGTATTGCGCAGGTCGGGCATTTGTATTTCTTCGGCTCTGTATTGCAGATTCCACAGAGTACGGCCGCCATTTCCAGATGGAAATCGTCGAGGATCCCGGACTATTTCAAGGAAATAGAGTTATGAGAGGAGTGAGACGCGAACGTGAGGAAGTCGCTCAACTTTCTCCAACCTGAAATCTCAAATTTCTCCAACACGAAGTCAAACGGCTGGTCCAAGCTCTTCAAAAGATCCTCTGAGGCTCTGAAAGCGGCTAGATCTTCCGCGGGGAACAACATCGCTCCACCGAAACCTTCGCCTTTCACCATTCACCCCCTCAAAGCATCCACAATGTCTGCATCAGTACCCCTGCGGCCTTGCGTTTCAAGATCAATTAAGCCATGGATATGCTCTTCATGCTCTCGCGCCTTCACTCGCCTCCGAAATCCGCAATATGCCGCCGCGCGACGATATCTGAATGCTACGAAAGAGAGTCGCCAGAACGCCACACCGTCGATGGATCAGATGCATGCGCAGTACAAGGAGAGGAATAGGACGACAATGTACGAGGAACAAATTGCTCTTGCTTCAAAGCGAGAATTGACTTTCTGTCAGGAACTACGTCTTCAGTATCATACTCGGCACCGTCGCACTCTCCTACGGCTCGGTACCAATGTACAAAATGGTTCGCACCACATCTTCTCCTCGGTCCCTTTTCTAGACCTGCAATTTGATAATGGGTAATTTCCAGATCTGCCAAACCACCGGCTGGGGCGGCCAACCCGTCCGCTCCGCCGCCCACGGCAGCGACTCCACCGTCGACCCCTCGGAGCGCCTCAAACCCGTAGCCCACCACCCGCGCATCCGCATAACCTTTAACGGATCTGTCTCCGATGTTCTCCCTTGGAAATTCGTCCCCCAACAACGCGAAGTGCGCGTACTCCCCGGCGAAACCGCGCTGGCCTTCTACACCGCGACCAACAAGTCCTCTGAAGACATCATCGGCGTAGCCACATACTCCGTCACCCCCGGTCAGGTCGCCCCGTATTTCAGCAAGATTCAGTGTTTTTGCTTTGAGGAGCAGAGGCTGAATGCAGGCGAGACGGTTGATATGCCGGTGTTTTTTTATATTGATCCCGAGTTTGTGAACGACGTTAACATGAAGGGGATTGAGACTGTGACGTTGAGTTACACTTTTTTTAAGGCGAAGTATGACAAGGATGGGCATTTAAGGCCGGTACCGATGGGATAATTGGGGACTGGAGACGGGAGGGATGCAGATCTTCACTCACGGTGTGTATTATACTGTGTGCTTGTACAGAAGCATTATTGGCGTTAGAGTTGCATTAGAGGGATTGGAAATGGAAAATGCCTCATTTTCGCTCTCAGTCAAACGTCGTTAAAAGTGATACCTTGCATGTCAGAGACAGTTCGCAACTTGCGGACACCTCCATATTCGTTCGACCCTTGTAATTCGTGTTAAATCCCGGTCCAGCAGCTACAAAGAGCCCTTTCAGACTTCCTGAATCCGTATGGAGGGCAATCGGAAACTCATCAAAAACTAGTTTCGAAGTCATAGCGAGTCCTAAGGTTGCATCTTCCTTATATCACGTTTACACAGGGATGTTAGAAAGACTTAGAACCAGGAGCACAGAAGAGAACCAAATCCGAATAGCTAATATACACCAAAGCAAACCCTCAACACCAGGTTCAATGATGCAGAGCCGCCGGTGTACCTCCATAAACACAAGAAGGAGCGGGGTATTTAGAAACCGCAAGTACCGCAATCTGTAGCGCATACAAATTAAGCCCAACCCAACACGCATGAAAATGAACATACCGGCGACAGCAGGTCTCCACCAACGCTCGGGGGAGATAATCGTAAAAAGACTTGCAGTCATCCTAGTGATGCTTCATACTGGTCTTGTCATTATCTCCATCTAGTCCAAGCACAAAGCAGTATTCATTCTTAAGCTAATCTTCATTCTTGAATTCCTCGTAGGATGTAAGCTGGAGGACTCTACGATGGGCTGCACAATCAACCTTGGGATTGGCATCCTACAGTTAGTTTATATGAATTACAGAGCTCCTCGGACCCTCAGTCCACAATACATGACTTTTCTCATAACTCATGCTCCTGCACGGCGGCATAGCACTTGGCGCAAATCTCTAGTGCAATCTTGGTCGGGCTGCATTTGGCTTTTGGTTAGTGGGGTGATACGCCAGAATTTATTAGGATATTTCGAGTGCTGTGTTTGAGGGGAGGCATAGGTAGGCATTTTGGAGATGGAGACTCGAAAAGTTGACGGTGTATTGAGGATTGGTTGGATGTCTTTGAAAGGTGGTCGTAGAGGTCTGCACGGAGATATGAAGGTCTTCTAGGGACTGCGAACGTTGCGAAAGACGGGGATTCAAAGACCAGGTTTTAGCAAGGATTGGGGATTTCAGAGAATGCTGTTTTAAATGCTATGGATGCGCCGTTGGTAGAAAGGCTGACTGGGAGTCAGGTTCAACTGAGAAATGTGGAGAATTTTGAAGAGAGCAAAAGGGGACGCTACTCCGATCGGGGGACTGTATACCTAGGCCCCATTCTGAAGTCTTAAATTCGAATTCCTATATTAGAATGTCATGAGTCGGCGTTGTTAGGATCTAAGATAATGCGGGTGCTCAGGTCTCAGATTCGAGACTCCCGAGTCGAGATATGAATCAACGTAGAATCACATCGTCAGAGCTTATAGCCAGACAGATGCTCATGCCTCAAAATATGTAGTTCAGGGTACTATTAGGAATCAATAAGAAAATTAAATCGTCGCAATCCAAGATAAGGCTGATACTCAGGTCTTGGAACTGGGACCCTTATTGAATCAATGTGAGAGGTGGGCCATTGAATGAATCGAAAAGCTTCACCCTACTACTGACGAAGAACACCATTTCCAATTCAAGCTTCTCAGTGTGCTGAGTCCACGTTACGCAGCACTGGTCAAAACATTATGAGGCACCCGATAACTCGACAGAAGTCGTCATTTCTAATGGCGGGCGAGACTGGCTCGCCCAAGTCTAACGTCATTCATTATACCTGAACTTCCTTACACCCATAGACCCGCCAAACCATAGCCAAACTTCCTCAAATCGATCAGACATTACGTGCGCAACTGCACTCAGGCCCCTCGGTACTTTCCTCAACACTATGCGACCCCTTCCAACACCTTCTAGCGCTATCCCCAACGAATCGTCACTGAAAATTACTGAAACCTGATCAAAACGCCCCGTTGGCCTAGCGTACAAAACTAATTAGCAAAAATTGTCTCAGACAATCGTTTGATGAGATATTCGTATCCTGGCCTTCTCGCCTTCCCTCCTGCTTTGCCGAGTGAAGCCGCTACTGCATTCGGGAACGGGAACGGGACGGAGCCCTAGAGCTCGCACGTGTCTTTGCCTGTCCCTGTGCCTTTCCCCGAGTCTGTCCCGTCGGCGATGTCTGCGCTCTGGCCTGTACCGGTACCGGCGCCGGCGCCGGTGCCGGTGCCTGTGGTGCATCCCACGAGGGAGGTTTAGAATCCGCTGGAGAATCCACCCGGGAATCCACCCGGGAATCCACCCGGGAATGCCGTTGGGTCTGGGAATACCTTCCACTCCCCTCACTGGTGTCTGCAACACACTTACTAGCATTAACCCTCAACTGATCCATCGTCTCAACATCCACCGGCCTCTCCATATTCTCGAGCACGGCTCGAATCTTAGTCGCAAGGATCTTCCCGGCATCGCATTGAGCATGACGTGCAATGTAATCAACACGATCCGCCGCTACCCTTGCGCCAGCATCGGCATTCGCATTCAAGGCGCCAGGTTGAGAGACTAGGATGCTGTCCCCATTCGTGTTAGTGATGCTGTTAGACTCTCTATTATACTTCCACTCCATAACCTGAATCGAAGAAAGCTGTTCTGCGACGTGGCTCACGGATTCGATGATGGTTTTTGGAGATTTGAGAGCTGGCCAGTAGCCGATTGCTTTCAGATGGCGGACCATGGAGCCGTGGTTCAAGAGTGTGCATTCAGTGCGTTGGGCGTCGAAGGCGGCGAAGTCGGGAGGTTCCAACTGAACCGTGTTCAGGGATGGTGAGCCTGTTCATAAGCGGGTTAGATCTAGACGATCACAGCAATCGGATTATCTAGGAGCGAGAGCTGAGGAATTGCGTAAGTAGGGGAATAATAGCAATACAAACCTGGCGGTGTAATCATGCTGGAGAGGGGGCTGGGGATAGACCGCCTGGGGAGCTGGCTTGGCGGTAGGCTGTAGCGGGCTGAGGCTGCTGGATTGGATGGGGTAGGGGATGGAGTACATTGACATGTGTTAGATATGATCATGTTTTCCACATGCTGGTATGTTGTGTTAAGGAAAGATTGAAGGAGCTTTTGCCGGGCTGACATGATTCGGCCTATAATTATCGTTAGTTCAAACGAGATCCACAACACCGATCCCGCAAGTGGATCTTACGAAGAGCACCTGGCGGAAAATGTCCCTTGAGCGGCTTCCCAGAAGGTGCAATCAGACTTCCATCCTCGTTTAGCGTGCAATGAAGTGTAAGATGCTTTGCTAGCATCAAGTAGTCGTCCTCATATCCAAATTGATATGCAATGAACATCCACTCCTCCATTCCATCATTCAGAAATTTATCTTGATATGGTCTAGTCCATTTCGGGAGGAAAGGGATCAAAACGTGGTTTGTCTTGTACCGGTGAGAAATGAGGGCCAATTCGAGAAGTTGGCGATACTCTAGTGTGTCCGGCAGTTGTTTGAATTGTAGGTGGGCAACTTGCATAACAAGAATCATGATCTCAGGATCGTCTTCGGTCAAGCGGACCTTTTTTTGGCTCAGTGATGGCCACGATTTGTGCGTCTGGGTAGACACAATGTTCTCCCAAGCTGGACTCAATCGACGTACTATGTCGGGAGAGACGATTACTTTTCGTGGGCCGTTGTTTTTTTCCTCACTGCCGAGGACCAGGGCGAGGGTCCCTTTCGGGTCGATTTCGAGGAGGGGTGGGTAGCCGAGGACGACGAAGCTGCCATCATGCTGGACGGAACTATTCGTGGCGATGGTGGTGGAGTTTGTGAGACCTTATGCATTGTTAGATTTGGTACTTGGGATATGCGAAGAATTAGAACGCGGAAAGAATGAGATGCTGGAAAGGGTAGGCAGGGAGATGGGGTTGTGGTAGGAGGTGTAGATCGTGCACGCCGTATGATTTCAAGCCAACCAGGATCACTAGCAGTTCCTGGAGCCGGGGTAGGTCTTGTATGGGACGAAGGGCCACCAGGAACCTGTTGCTGGGGAACGGCCATTGGGCTAGGGCGTGACCTTGGCTGCGCATATGTGTACAATAACGGCAATGTACCAGTGTCAAGAAAATACTTGCGTAATCCAAGCATTGCATCTGGAGTGTAGTTGGAACGACGCATCCATATTTCCAACGAATCAAGCTCCTGAACAGATGGCAATGTTGCGGGGGCTGCTGGGGAAGATTCACTCTGATGAGAACGCGATACACTCGGCTTTTGGGTAGAGGGCTCTGCAGCTCCGGTGGAAGCATGAGCGTCTAAGGGAAAAGCCCGCGATGTATTCGCGACCGTCGATGTTCCGCGCGAGCCTTCAGGGTTTGAGACAATCCGTCGCGGGGCGGCACTCGATTCACCTTGGCTCGTAGGCGTACGCTGGCTCCTGGCACGCTCAGACGTCGACTCGCGCAACGCATTTTGCATTGCAAACTGCCTCAAATTGCTCTCCGGGATGCGTTGGGGACGAGGTGTATGCGACATGATAAAATAGAACGAAGGTGATGATGATAGAGAAGATGGGCATGGGATGATAACAACTCAGTGGATAGTGATGGCGGATGAACATGAATGAGATAGCGAGAGACTGACAGTCTGATGATCTGTTTGGATCTGGGGGCATATGAATCAGCTGCGCCCTCTGCCAGGCTGGCGCCTGCGAGTAACCTTCGTCGTACACCGAGAGTGGGAGGTCTGGACTTTCTGCGGCTTCTTCGAACGAGTTACGGCCGCTTCCGTACGTAGAATCGAAGATTGCGATGTGCGGTTGCGAAGATGGGGAGTTGCGACCCATTTTGGGGGCGTAGAGGCAGGAACACTGTTGTTGTGTTTGATGAGGAGAATGTTGAAAGAGAGCAAACACAGAGGACAGGAGTTCGAGGTGAGTATCCGATGTCCGGACATTCCGTCTGGCGCAACTGAGGATCCGAGTGGTGGGGAGAAAGCTGGTTCAGACCCAAAGGTTCACAGGCATCTCAATATCGAGGACCACACGATCAAGCAGGTTGGTCGGCTGACTGCCGGAACCAATGAGACGTCGTATTGAGAGTCACTCTTCAGAATCAGCTAGAAGAAAATATATATTAACTTAACTATCCATGCTGCAGCTTCCCAGGGAGAAGGAAATGATTAATCAAGACAGTTCGAGCAGAGAAGTGTGCAAAATAATGCAGGGGACTGTGAATCACGATGGTGTCCCAGCCTCCCAGAGCATGTTGGGCAGCGTGGCAAGATTGAATGGTACGAAGTCAAAGCTAATACACATTGTTGGGGCCATGATAAAATGGTGAGGTGGGATTCCAGGGTTTTGGGGAGGTCGGAAATGGAAGTTTATTTCGCCGCATGGGTCCATTCACTTTCCAAGGTTAACTGGGCGGAGGTACACCAATCAGAGACAGTCTATCACGTGATATTTTGTTCCCCGCAGAGAGGCCTGGGCATACAATCCCAAGACTCCTATTCGTCATGAATCAACTTGCTCTCTTGACTTTTCTCCTATCAGCTGAGACCTAATTCAAATATTCGCAAGGTAGATCGGGTCGCAGATTGGGAATGCGCTCAGTCGATTTCCACCTCCCAGACATGTGACTTCAGCAACATCCACAGCTCTACCATACAAGCCTTCCCTGACCAACTAATGGATATCACAAGCGAAGTGGCCACCCAAACCGGCATGCCGCCTCAAAACGCAACAAAAATCCGAATCTTACACCGGATATATCTCGCCAACTATTTAATAAATTATAACACTGTGCTTTCCTTATAGTTAAACACGTTTAAGTTTTCATAGGTTGCTGAAACATTTAGGTGCAAGATTCTGATTTTCTTGAGATGGCCGACTTACTTGTGGAATACGACCTTAAGGACGATTTCGCAGCAAGATTAGCATCCCCGGATAGGTCTTTAGCTTATTCTCATATACACCGACGAGTAATAAGCACTGGTTTCACATTTATTTCTCCATCCTCTGTGGTTCCACTCCCCGACTTGTCTTACGGAATTGTAGAGCCACGGTAGAATGCGAACTTGGAGTAAGGCTTTTTTTACTATTTTCTATCACTCTAGAAATTCATCCGCCGGCAAAGGCAATCCATATGGAAGACTGCTTGAATTTAGTCGATCTGCCCTGCTACAGATATCGCAAGAATTCAAAGAGCCCAAGGTCAACCAAAGGGCAGAGAAATCAGCTGCAATACCCCTTCTCGTAAGAGTTCTCAAGGCCTCTTAATCCCTTTCAACCCCCGTTCCCAAACACAAATCCAAAGAAACTCTTGCGGAATCCATAGCCGGCAATTCCACAGCCACGAATCCTTGACCACAGCTCTCGACCCCAAAAATGCGGCCTCCATACTCGATCCACAAATCACATCTCGTACGCCGTGCATTCGTAGCCGCCCTCTGCGATCTCATAGACTCCATGCGTCCCTTATACAGTGCGGCCATACATTTCATCCACAGCCTTTTCCACCTCAGAAACCCCTGATTTGACGAACACCGACCTGCTCCCCATCTGTCTTGATCTGGGAGATTAAGGCTCCTACCCCACATAGCCATCGGCTCCCCGTTGATCTTGACAAGCGAGATGATGAGGTTATGGGCCGTACGTCCTAGTTCGAAAAAAAATCCAGTTAAATGGGGAAGAACAGGTGTGCGTGTCCAATTTATCTCATCGTAGAAAAACATATCAAGGACGAATGTCAAGACTTTGGGTGCACCCCATATACCAGTACTCTGGCTTAACCGCTGAATCTGCGATATCCACTCGTTCAATTCCCAGAACAAATCTCTTTTCGCCCAACGTGGATGGCTTTCAAGATCAATATCGTGAAGAAGAGACAGCCGCAGGAATTGGACGTCAAAGGTTTTACAATCGTTGAGGAAATCGTATAGTGCGACCGGAAACCGGAAGCAGAATACATTGCGTTTGTAAACAAGAGGGCGACATTCATTGAGGAAATCTCTGCTGACAAGCAAGACACTAATATTTTCGACTACGGCGGGAAGGAGCTCACCTCTATTGCGTCTGTCTTCGTAGTACCTGTACGGCGAGACTGTGCATGTCGGGCCAAGGACGTACTGAAAAATCTTGCGACGAATTCTCTGGTCAAGCGACATAAATGTGACCGTTCGGGGCGCTTCCAGGTGGGCGTATCTCTGGGATCGATCTCCCTCTTTCACGCTGTATGTCGGAGCAACGTCAGCTTGAGTAACATTTGCCTTCGTGTCAGCGCTCTCGTCAAATTTGTCGCAGATTTCAATCACAAAATGGCTGAACGACCACCGCTGCGTCTCGGGAGCCAGGGTCAAAGGAACCACGATAGTTGTATAGATCGTGAAATTATTGGCGTCTGTATGCGAATCTCTCTGACTTCCTTGAGAAGGGTGGTTCTGGCCTGGCTGGACCGCAGAGTCTCTTCTTCTCCCTCCACGCTGCTGCTGCATGACATCCACGTACGTTCTAGGAACCAAACGAAAGGACCTGCTAGTGTGTGTTCCATAGATAGTAGCAGTACCTGCTCTTCCAGGATTTGTTATTGATTGTTCGGAGAGACTCGAAACGGGCGAACTAGACGAAACAGACAGAATGCCTGCGAAAGGGCTCTGCAAGGACGCGGCTGAAGCGGGATTGCAACCGAGAACCATTACAGGCCAAAGCGGGTTGTCCGAAATGGTTGAAGCTGCTCGGGTCAACGCAGGAGCAAGAACCAGGGTCTCGGGGGAGGACTCGGTAGCTGGAGGATCGACATGTCTACTTCGCCGGATTGGAAGGTCACAAGGGAAGGTTTGAAATGTACGCTGCGCTTGCCGTAATTCACTGAAGCTGGGAAGCCTTGTTCCTAGTCCCACCCCCTCGTTAATAGTGGAAGGAAACTGGAACTCTCCCCCATAATCCCGAAAAGCACTGCCGGCACTACGCGTGCGAGTAGGCATATGCGTAGGCGTCAGCTCTTGACTTCCACTTCCATCTATCATCTCATAAGTCACATCCTCCACAAAAATTCCATTTCTCTGCGTCCTCGGTCGTCGAATCTGCCGCCATCCTGACCACCCCACCGCACCGGGTCTCGGTCTTCGGACAGAATCGTCGGATCTTGGCTCTACCAACGAGCCCCTTTCCTCCTCCAGTGGTGACTCTTCCTCAGAAGACGGCTCATCATTCTCCCAGGTTTGTTCGGAGATAGTGTCACTTCTATCGGTTTCTCCCGTAAGATTTTCAGATTCTAGGTTCATGATCCGAAGCAGACGCTGAGAAGCCCGTCTAGCAAAACAACACGAACCCCGTAGAGGTCCTAGAGGCGGACCTTCGATCGCAGTTGGCGACTCGGTCCTCCGAGGATTATAATCTGCGTACTCGGTGTGATACAGCTGGTCATAAACTCTGAAGGCGTATTCGAAGATGGATTGTTCGCGGGGAGTCCATGATTGATATTCGATTTGAATCTCGCCAGGCAAGGCAGCGACAATGTCTGGGTTTAAGCCTCTCGACTCCCTAGAATTTATACTCCGGCTTCCTTGCTCGGTTGGACCAACGCGTGGAGGTTCGAGAGGAGAAGGGTTGTGCTCGTCGGAATCAGAGTGTGTCCTTTCGGCAGGGAAAGCTGTGCATAGGGGCAGGCGTCGTCTCCGGCCTTCTTCTCGAAACTGGAGTGAGGCTGCGTCCCCATTGCTGTTAGAAGGACAATATATTGAAGGCCCGCCAGTGTCCAATGAGTCGACTGCACAGTTGACATTTCTGGACTCATCCTCTTCCCCCGCACCACCGCGGAGGTTAGGTACGGACTGCTTGCATTGCTTGGATTTCTCAGACTGCTCGGGTTGCTCACGTTTCTCAAACAGCTCAGTTCTGTTCCGCTTCCAACGTCTGTTTCTTTCACTTTTGAGCCCACGCTCAGCTTGAATACTAGGCAAAATAACGGCGTGTCTGAAGGTATTCACAGGCCAGTTTTCCCGCCATTGAAAATGTTTGATTTCCTCCTCAGGCCCCGGAGCCGCTGGGTCTACGAGATCAGAATGCGGGTGCACGTCATATAGCAGCGGCTCTCTGGTACATGAATAAGACCGGTAACGTTGCCTTCGCTCGCCGTACGGGTCCGGTGACGTGGAATCAGCGCTTTGGGCGAGGCCTCGGCCTCGGTTAGGTTGAGAATGACAAACTTGTTGTCGCCGAGCAGAGGTCTGACTTCCTCCAATCGCGACATTCGAAATAGGTGACTGATAACGAGGTAATTGTCGTAGCACGACAGAGGTACTAGGGTTCCTTTATTTCAGGGTCAGTGTATTGCTTTGGACACACCTTGCATCGGACCTAACTTACGCTGAATTTGGTGGTGTGCGAGCAGAGCGAGTCATGCCGTCATTCCAGGAGTACCCTGAAAGATCCTTCGTTTCTGATCCTGATTGTAGCGCCGATGCTGAAAATCCAGGTTGGAACACAATCCGAGTATGACGCAATGCTCCTGGCGGTCGGCCAGGTAAATTTTGTGGAGGAGTCGTTGATTGATGGCTATACACTCCATTTCGGGTTTCTTTTGGATTGAGAGGGGAGGACTGAGGGCGAATGTTGTTGTATCTTTGAGGGGCATTCCACTGAGGGAGGGAAATAATTCCCCTCCCTCGCCCATCTGGGGAACCCCCCCGCAGTCTACAATTGATTTGGCTGTAATTTTCATGGTCTCCCTCACTAGGCGAAGAGAAATGTGGTCCGTAAGATGGCCTTAAAGGGTAGCCCGATGGGTACGACGGAGTCCAAATATTGTTCCTATAGCTAGGAGTCTCGAAGTAGCGCCAATCGAGCAATCCATCAAGCCCCCTATCATCCAAGGTGCGGGATGAAGGTGAGCATTCAGGAAGGGGAAACTCTGCTTCTTGCTCCACATCTCGTATCCACGCCGAGATCGATCTCCGGGAAGAGTGTCGAAATGTCGTACACTCTGAATTTAGAGAATTGAATTGAATTGACGGAATTCGTTCCTGGCGCTGTAGGAATACCGGGTTAGGGTTCCTATGGATACCAAGCTCCAAACCCCAGCGCTGAGGACCGGTGGTGTAGATTCGTTGAGACTCGTTGAGGTCCACGGTATGCGGCGTTTCGATTGGTGAAAGCTCAGGGGAAGACAAAGGAGAATCATCCCCATAAGAGGTATCAGAACCAGTCTTGTCGGGGAAGCCCGACGTATTGTCTGATGAACTCGACGAAATGATGGAGCGACCGCTGGATTTATGTTGAAATCCCGAATAATCAGAGATAGAGCTCTGGGCCGAGCGCCAAGAGTATTTATACCCGCGAGGATACTGATATACTGTGCGAGAGGCCGGGGCAGCTTTCAGAATGTTGGGTACAAGAGGTGAGGGTTCAATAGCCATGAAAGAAAGTTTACGCGTAGGTGGAGAATGTGTTCGCCATAGCGACGCGCTTGAGGCGTGCGGTTCTTTGGAGGGATGATTAGAAAGGGCTGAAGGCTGTATGGAGGGGCATCCTTCAGGCCTGCAAGATAACCGACGCTTGGTAAGTAAGGCATAATGCGCGACCGCAACAGGCCTTGTGTGTTGAAGGTCATCGGTGCCGAGTAAAGTGCCGGCGCGGGGAGGCGAGAAAGGTGCTGCCTCTGGATCAAGCTCCTTTGCAAAGGCGTCAGACGAATTGGTGTAGACCGAGGTATCTGGCTCTCTTTGAGCGCTGTCATGAGTCTGACGCCTATGCCCACAAGCGGTTTCACCCATGGCTCAAATCCGCTGCATACGCCAATGTTGATATACTTGACAATGAGAATGAGGCAGCCTCGCGACAGAAACGAATGGCGTGTACGGCGCACAATGTCGAAACGGCCAGCCGTATTCGGGAAGGATGACAGACGTAGCGATAGTAATTCGGCTGATGAAGATAGTGAAAGCAAAGTGCTAATGTTGATGTACAAGGAGGAAAAGGAAAAATAGGATTTTTGGAATGACAGCAAGCAGCACTCCTTCTACAATCGTTTCGGTGAGTGCAACCCGAGGTCCTAGAAAGGGAAGTAGTCAACTCATCCAAAAATCAAATCTGAAATCACTCCAAACGCTAGAGGGTTCCTAACTCTTGTCCTACAAGAAAGGAGGGGTATCTCTTTTTTCCAGCCGGAGACCCAAACACCTTACTATGCCCAAATCATAAGTTACCCTAAAGGGCTCTGGGTCATCATCATGGAGTCATACATATTGTGGGTTCGTCCCAAACTCTGTACTCGAACAAAACAAAAACACGGAAAAGGCCATCTACCACTCGAAAAATTGCGCCCCAAAGGCATCCAGCGCAGCCCCCAGCGCACCCCAGATGCCTTTCTTCTCCTCCTTCACAATTGGGGGCACGACGGGTGGCGGTTCCTGCGCTGTTTCCGGTGTGGAGGAGTTCGCATCCTGAACTTTTGCGCCTCGGAGCTCCTGAATGACCTCCCATTGGATTCGATTCAGCTCTCTAACCTCTTCGAGGCGAACTCTTAAGTTGCGCGTATACGCGCGGACACCGTCGATATATGTCTCCACCTCCTTCATGTATATATTCTCGAGGCCCGCGGTACCACTCCCAGGCCCGAGTGCAGGAGGATCTCGGTTGCTGTTGCGGGCTAGGTAGCCGCTAATAGCTTCAAATTGTCCGATTAGGTACTCCATCTCCTTGTCATCTGGACGGGTATCGTGAATTAAGTTTGAGAGGTTTTGCAGACAGGAGACTAGTGCGGATTGGACGGGAGACTGCTCGGGGGGTGACGAGTTCTCAGCCCAGGGCATTGGAGAGAATGTTTGAAGTTGGGCCGGAATCTTGGTCGACGGCGTCTTTGGTGTGTATGGGTACTCTGGCAGTAACACAGAAGTCTTTGTGGGAGTGTATGCCTCAAGCGGAGTATCCGCGCGTGGCTTGCCGATGTTCTCGAGGTGGCTCGGACGCTGCGTCTGGGTGCGTCGGTATGGGGATGTAGTGGGTGTTGGAGACGAGTAGCACAGGTGATCATGGGCAGAGCCTGCTATGATGTCTGCTTTGCTGTCGAGCATCAATGGCGTTGTGGGATCAGTGGAGTAGTCTGAGAACGGGTTTGAAGACGGAGACCCCATTTCTGGCGGTGTGTAGGGGCGCGTAACGGGAAGAGGAGACGAGGATGAGCCCAAATGGCTATTGTGCTTGAATGCAGACCCCATAGTTGTGTTTATTTAGCTTGTAGAGACGAAGATGACGGATGTTGCGGCCTTGGAAACCTAGTATTGTGATCAGATTGTGAAGTATTGGGGATGTATTGTACAAATTGGGGGAAAATAGAGCGTAGGTAACTTTCGATGCCGGGCGCAGAGCTGGATGTGTAGAGGGGTTGTGTAGAGAAACAGTGTCGCGAACAGGCAGTGTCTTTTGGAGGGGCTGGGGTTCCCTGGGTCGCCTATTCCGCCCTTCCGACCATGCCGAATAGGGATGGGGAATCGGAAATCCAGGAAATCCGATGATCGGAATCTGCACGGCTGTGATTGGTGGCTTAGCAAGGAAACTGTGGCAGTGCATGTAAGACCACACGTGGGGCTTTTGTCTGCAGACGGACAAGCACTGGAGTCATTCCGGTATTCACTTACTTTCGCAACTACGACACAGTAGCGATTTTGCCTTCGCTGCACATTCAATTGACACCTCCACAAAATTGCGTTAACGCACAATGGCGTCACAGGTAAGCCGGCCTTCTCCCACGCTCTTCCCTCCTAGCCATTAGCATGCGGCCAAACTGACCGCATGACCTAGCTAGGCGTACAGCCGCCTCTTGACACCATTCGTGAGGTGTTGGCGACTGCCATCAAGGCCCCAAACCCCCCGAACCTCGTTCCCATCTTCTCCTCGATATCCGCCGAGTTCTTGACACCGTCGAGTATATACTTGAAGGTTTCGGCAAGGTGAGTGGGGATGAGTCATGGTGGGTAGTGTGATGAGAGGAAGCATTGATGTGTGAATAGGTCGAAGTCGAAGTTGAGCTTTTTGTTTGAGAGTGCAGCGACAACAGAGACGATTGGAAGATATAGCTTTGTCGGTGTCGGTGAGTCAATTCAGCGCTGCGGGATTGCTATGTGCTGATGGTGTGGCAGATCCCAGGCAAGTCATTAAAACAGGTCTTGGCCATGGTGAAGAGAAGGATCCGTTGCCTATCCTCGAGAAGGAGCTTGCAAAGAGCAGAGTCGCCACAATCCCGTCGATTAAGCTGCCATCGCTCACTGGAGGTGCTGTGGGATACGTCGGCTATGACTGTGTCAAATATTTCGAGCCGAAGACGAAGAGGGATGACATGAAGGACGTTCTTGGAGTACCGGAGAGCTTCTTCATGCTATTTGACACAGTTGTGGCGTTCGACCATTTCTTCCAAGTAGTGAAGGTTATAACGTATGTAAAGGTGCCCGACAATCTGGATAGTTTGGAGAAGGCATACGAAGGGGCGAAGGTCACACTCAAGAAATACATATCAATCCTAAAGGATAAGGAGATACCTATGCCGGAGCAAGGACCGATCAAGATGGGCCAGGAATACAAGTCTAACATTGGCAAGGATGGATACGAAAATCACGTCAAGAACCTGAAAGAGCATATTGTGGTAGGAGATATCATTCAGGCAGTACCGTCGCAAAGATTTGCAAGGCCAACCTCGTTACATCCCTTCAACATCTACCGACATCTGCGAAACGTCAACCCATCGCCATATCTCTTCTTCCTCGATTGCGACGACTTCCAAATCGTGGGCGCAAGTCCCGAACTTCTGGTCAAGGAGGAACTTGGGCGAATCATCACACACCCCATCGCTGGGACTGTAACGAGGGGTAAGACCCTGCAGGAAGACGAGGCGTTGGCGAATGAACTTCTCAACTCGATCAAGGACCGGGCCGAACATGTAAGTTGAAGTGGACTTGGTTCATTTGCGGGAACCACAAGCTTACATTTACATCACAGGTCATGCTGGTGGACCTGGCACGAAATGACGTAAACCGAGTCTGCGATCCACTCACGACACGTGTCGACCGGTTGATGGTTGTGCAAAAGGTAATGCATTTCTTCATACCTGCAACCATTGCACATAAGGTTGGCTAATTGTAACCAGTTTTCACACGTGCAACACCTAGTCTCAGAAGTTTCGGGCGTCCTGCGACCGGGCAAAACGCGCTTCGACGCCTTCAGATCGATTTTCCCCGCCGGGACGGTCAGCGGTGCCCCTAAAGTGCGTGCAATGGAGCTGATCGCCGAATTGGAGCGTGAAAAACGAGGCGTGTATGCAGGTGCCGTGGGATATTTCGGATACGGCTCCGTGGACGGAGATATAGAGGTCGAGGGCGCAATGGATGTGAGTAAAAATTATGCACGTGGGCTGGCGTGACAAATGGCTGATCATGATTGCCAGACGTGCATCGCCTTACGCACTATGGTTGTCAAGGATGGCGTCGCGTATCTTCAGGCTGGTGGCGGAATAGTGTTCGACTCAGATCCACACGATGAGTGGGTCGAGACGATAAACAAATTGGGTATGTGCGGTAACCTTATTTTCTTTTTCGCTCCTTCGCCCCAGCGGAGAGACCATGGAACGCTGACACCATTTGTTTGGACAGGCGCGAACATGCAATGCATCACGTCCGCTGAGGAGAAGCACCTCGCAGAACAGACAGACGTGGAGAATGTCGCTAGTGATGGGGACAATGGCGAAGGGAACACAGCGGGAGAGTCACCGGTGGCAACAGCAAAACAGGAATTTGAACGCGATGCGGCATCGCCGAACAGGACGCGCATTCCTCTCGCGGCCGGAGAGCTTGCGCCACAGAGGCTGGGAGAGTGATTGGCTGACATGATCCGATCTGGGGCGTTCTCGATCGTGCAGGGAGAGGCGGGGGGAGGGGGGGAAGGGAGGGAGAGGAGATTTGCAACGAAATGAAGGACAGTCTTGAACTTGTGTGCTGAACAGACGTCACTAGCTGGCGCAGAGGATTGGTCTAACAGCAGAGCCAATTTCCATTGTCAAATTTCAGATTGGGGCCCTGAAGCCTGCTTTTCCTGGTGGAGCGCCCTGATCACAGAATGGGAAGATTGACTCGCACAGAAGGAATTATGGAACGGAGACGCGTGAAGTCACAGCAGCACAGAGGAACACACAGCGGAGTATTGCGTGTTGGTTGCAGGGCAGTCTCCACAGCGTGAGTTGTCTAGTCGACGCACTCGGCAGTAGCTGGCGAGATGCAGGCGTTTGATGGAGGAACTTGCATGCGAGGTGAATGCCGTTCGACTTTTTCGAGAGAGGGGCTGGGGGACTAGAGGCAGCGAAAGAGAAGAGCAATTCTTGCAGCTCGACAGTGGGACGGGTAACTGGAGGGCAATTGGCCAATGGTATTCGCGACACGGCGAGTCGAGTTCCTGGCTTTCCTTGAATCTTGGAGTTGGAACGAGGTTGGCGGGAGGCGATCGACAGGGCACCAGAGCTATGATCCCTGTCGGTCGAGCATCATGTTGCCGACGGTCCAGGTCCCATCACCACCAGCTCCCTCCGTTTGCAGCGCTTCGTGCCTGCCAACAAACACACCACTGAAACAAAAACAAGGAAGCAGCCACCTTCACCTCCCGCCTCCCCTTCACTAGCCACGTCCTCGTTAGCTGCACGCAAATAAATATTTGCTCGCCCCCCCGCCCTGTCTTCCATCCTCAACCTTCATCAACCAGCATTTCATCCCCCTCCACACCTTCGACAGCAACTCTTCTCTCGAAGCTCTCTCCCTTACAAAGCAACCCTATCCTATTTAGCTCCTACACTAGCATCATCAGCCCCCTACCCCCTCCACCACTCCTCCATCCCAACTCGTCAAGATGAAGTACTCAATCGCTCTCCTTGCTGTCGGAGCCGGCGCTGCCATGGCACAGAGCCTGAGCGACCTACCTCCCTGCGGTGTAAGTGCTCCTTCTCGCTTCCTGGCTATTGGCCGTCCAGTCCTGACCCCTCCTAGCAAACCTGCGTCAACAACATGATCAACATCGCATCCTCGCAGTTTGGCTGTGGCTTCGGCGACATCACTTGCTACTGCACCAAAGTGAACTTCGGCTACGGCATCCGCGACTGCTCCACCCAGTCGTGCTCTGCGTCTGACGCTGCCAAAGTCATCTCGTTTGGTACCAACTACTGTGCCAGTAAGCCACCGTCTCTGCCCTGATCAGTGGCGCAACCACTTACAATCTACTACAGATGCCGTTGCGTCTGCCTCTGGTGGCGTCTCGACTGCTCCTGCGTTGAGCATCTTGTCCTCGGCTGCTGCTTCTGCTTCTGGCGCTACTGCCACTAACGCCGCTTCCTCTGGCGGTGCCTCTGGTGGAGCTTCAGGTGCGAGCACTGCTATCTCTACCCAGCCCCTTGTCGCGACTGTTGTGTCGGGCAGCCAGACTATCCTCCAGACCACTGGCTTCTCTACCATCTACAGTTCACTGACAGGCGCTGCAGCTAGTGGTGCTTCAAGTGCTGCTAACAGTGCCTCTTCAGTCGCTGCCTCAGTCACTGGGTCTGCTGCTTCTGCTGCCTCATCCCTAGCCTCGTCTCTTGCCAGCGGTGCCAGCTCTGCTCTCGCCAGCGGTTCAGCCCGTGCCTCAGGTCTCGCCAGCGGTGCTACCGGCGCCCCCGCGTCCACCGGTGGTGCTCCGATGATGACCGGCCTCCCACTCGCCGGTGCCGCCGGTATGGCCGCCCTCTTCTTCCTCTAAGTACCCAACCTCGCGCGATTTCCAACCATGGCTCGCCCGATGGTGTAATGTTTATAATGGGATGCTGGGATGGGCGAGTGCAGTTTTTTGAGGGACCTTTGAGCACGTTTTGGTTGGGCGGCGTGGTTGGGTCAGGCAATGGGATTGTATACCCGCTACCCCGGTGCATACGATTCTAATGCTTGTCTTCCTCCCTTTCTCTTTTCTCAGTCTCTCTTTGTTACGGAAAACCCTTTTCATGGGCTGGTATGATGACTATGAACTCATTATGCCGCGTAATGTACTTGCATTCATGCGCTAGGTTGCAGCGCTTAGATACCCTCTCTGCGGGATGGTGATGGGATGATTAATGGGGGTATTGTCATAAGACGGGAATGAGAATGAACGAAAGTTGGTACTCTTCACGCTTTTCATCTGTTGTGTGATATGATGCGTGCTAGTCTTTGAACCTTGAAGTGGTGTGGTGTGATGACGAGTGTAATTTCGCCTCTTGTAACGGTGCGACTTGGAGATCCCGATGCCAAGAAAGTTGACTTAGGGGCGTGACACTTCCCTCTACATATCGTCGCGTTGGTTGGGCACTCAACGCATCCACCTTTAGATGAGAACGGGCGGAACAGCCTCAAGAGAAAAACTCCGATATGATGAGATGAGATGAAGTCGGATTTGCCTTCCAGCCCCTACCTCAGATCATTAAGGTGATCAGCATTCCTCGCCTGAAATTTCCGAGGTCCACACTCACGGGCCCTCGGTTCAAGGGGTGTCTATGCCCTCCAGCTTCATAGCCGCACAGCATGTTACTGTATATTACGATACCGTGTTTAAACCGTTTATTTAGGAGAACGAAAGACATATGCTGTGTTCACGTAGATTGCGAGGGTCGTGTGACGGAGTGCGAGTTTCGGTCCATGTTGGAGATGTGGTGAGCACGAAATACGATGTTCAGGTACATTCAGACGCTGGTTCTCTTAGATAGGTGGTGTCTACCACAGGTTTATATTACGCTTAACTCTACCTCCTTTATACGGCCATGTAAGCTGTACTAAAAATTTTATATTAAAGCTTGTCACATTGTCCACGTTACTTGAAAAGTAAAAAAAAAAAAAAAGCTAAACTATATACCAATTAGGAAGTTAATCGACACCAGTGTTTGTACCAACCTATTGTTAAATTTGTCTGAGCAGTGGTCTTAAGCTGGCTGCCAATTCTGGCTTTATATAGGACGATTGCTTGCTCACCAGATGCAGTGCTAGTCTTTGCCGATGGATGAATACCGTAGAGATACCACTCGCCGACCATTGTACCCTGATCAACTCCTTGAAACAGCCTTCCAGCGGCAATTATAGTCGAATTCTCGGAAATAATTACGGAGTTGGAATATCACAAAGCAACCACTGCGAGACCTAAATGCAATGCGAGGAGGCCTGAGAGCACGATGAACTTTGACGCACATCAGTAGTAGGACAGTTGGAATACGGCAAGCTAAGAATACGGACCACCTGCGCCCAGTGCACCACCAAGGCAATGCTACCCGACCCAAATAGAAGTTGGCCAGCCGCCTCTCTTTGTGGACCAAGTACATCTGCTAGCTTTGGTATGCTGTGGCAGTGACGTTACTGCCCATTTCTTCACCCTGGAACATGCTACGGAATTGTCAGTACCGTCTTACCGACGCTAAGCCCAGGTTACTCTCTAGAATACCTAGCATATTGCCACTTGTCGATACCGGAAAAAGACCCTTTCAGGCCTATACTACCAGCAAAAATGACACCAGCTACATCTGGCATATATCCTCGAACTATCCACCTTCAACTCTCGAGACGGTGACATCGCAGTCGAACATGTCTACTTCGGCCCTCTCCCATCTTCTCCTGGATCTAACTACTGAAGAGCAAAATAATCTAGCGCATCGGGTACCACAGAAAGACCAAAGGTTCACGTCCACGCGTGTGTTTACCCATTGGAACCCGGCAGGAACTTCTTCAGGTTGCAAAGCACAGCCTGAGTTGTTCCATTCAGGTAGGTAGTGGAGCGCCCACCGATATTCGCGTAGGAAACTGCGAGCTCAACATCTTTCCTCTTACAAACGCTGCCTACAACACACTATCGCCATATAAGTGCGCACTAAAGTACTCCACATCCTTGCTGGACTCACCATTGGTGTTCCCTCTAGTAGAACCATAGCATATGTTTCAATTCTGCCTTCGGAAACTTTTCTCGCACCAATCCGCCCTCACGGCGGACTTCAAACGTTTACGAAAACCCAGTGAATCCCACCCAAGCACCGTTGCCTTGCAAATTGGTTAGCCACATTACTTGAAGCCCAGAATTGAAACCAACAACTTGCACATAAAGTCCCACGGCCAATGATAGCGAAGTAAGGTGGAGCGGTTTCTTCTTCTTCTTCTTCTTCTTCTTCTTCTTCTTCTTCTTCTTCTTCTTCTTCTTCTTCTTCTTCTTCTTCTTCTTCTTCTTCTTCTTCTTCTT